CCAGTGCCTAAAGGGGGCCTAAAAGAAAGCTGGGGAGGGACTCATTCTAATAGAGTGATAGGACAAGAGGTGATGGATTTAAACTAAAAGAAAGTAGATTATATTTTAGGAAGGAAGTCTTTATGATGAGGTTGGTGAGGCACTGGAACAGCTTGGCTAGAGAGAAACTGTGATTGCCCCATTCCTGAAAGTGTTCAAGGCCAGGTTGGATGGGGCTTTGAGCAACATGGTCTAGTGGAAGGTGTCCCTGGCCATGGCAGGGGGGTTGAAATGAGATGATCTTTAAGGTCCCTTCCAACCTAAACCATTCTATGATTCTATGATCCTATTCTCTAAGATGTCCAACATCCAAAACTGGTCAGCCATCCTACTGCCTATCTGCTGATATGAAACAGTGGCAATGCCAAGGGCAAATGTCAACCCTTCCTGTGAAACAGCATGGAATAATTTGCATTCCATTCCAACATACAGTATTTTGATAAAATTAAATGTTTCACAACAACTTTTGATTAGTTACTATCCACCAAATGAAAAGACTGCTTTCATAACTGTTCCTGGCTTGGGCTAGAATGGGTTTCTTTTTCTTTTCTTGCTCCCTGTCCTGACACCACAGCATCTGTTGGATAATACATTTTCACAATTTATTTTTTTTTCCCCTGCAGTTTCCTAGTTTTTATCCATGTAATTGCTGCCTGTACAGACTTTTCTTACAAGCATCAGAAAATAACTACGAAAATCAGCAATAGAGATAACAGGACTGCCTACAGGTTTAAGAAGACAACCCCATAACAGAAACTATGAGGATATATTTGGATGACTAACAACACAATTATAATGGATACAGTTTTGGTTTGTTTCACTGAAAATTCAGTTATGCAGAGATTGATAGCCCTCTCCTAAATAACTATTAATCTGGGCATATAGGCTACTCAGGCTTCACATTAACTACTGATACTTGAGAATTTTTAGCATATGAATTTATTCAGGTGCCAGATCTATGACTACAGGTGACTGTGCTCTAACCTTCAGAACTCCTATGGTGTTCTATTCCATAGTTTCATTATTATTCCTTGCCAGACCTATGAATCTAGCAAAAGTCATTAAATTGCACCTATCTTTAGTGACACTGATGTAGAAGCTCAACAGTTCAGCAGCCTTCATTAAGTAGTATTCACTTAAAACCAAAGGAAAAATAAAATACCATCACATGATCTTAGTATGGCTTCTGCAAGCAGTCTAACACGAAGTCCGAGAAGCCTTGTCACTTGGTAAAGAGAGTATATAAATGATATACTTAAAACAAACAACAACAACAAAAAAAAACTCTGAAGGAGGAGGTAACTTAAATAAGTCCAAACACAAAATTCTGGAGTAATGTGTGAAGAAAGTTTTGAATATACACTCTTAGTAGCATTAGATGTTCATGTAAGCTATTGTGGCCTTTATAGATATCGGTCATTTAAAGTATGGTGGCACTGGTGGCAAACCACAATGGTGAGAAATTTTCCACCCCTTTGCACAAATAAATTATAGGTTTGTATAGTTAAGCTATGAAAGTCAGTGCATCCTTACCCAACTGAGGTGATCAAATGCCAGTCTGCTCGTAGACATGTCTATGCACAAAGATGTGCACACTTTGGACGCTGTACTGGAAAATCCTTCTCTGTACAGCTATAAATGTAGAAACAGATGAACAGACATACAGCAGTAGGTATACCTATCTACATGTGAAAGGAAAAACTGTCAAGCATTGTACTTTCAGATGTAAACAAGAAGCATTATATTCATTCCACTGCTAATTGTGGTTGTGGTCATCCAAGACAGACCCTGTAAGATAATAGGAGAATATGATGCCAAAGAGCCTGGAAGGAATGGACTATTGTATTTGACTATTTTCCATGTACAAATCAGCACAGCAAAAGAAAGAAATCCTGCAGAAAAAACACATGTACTTTATTACAGTTCATAGTGTTAGTTCTGTAAATAACACAACAGCAACCCAGAGAGCTAAAAAAAGCTGCTGAAAAGATGCAAACAACAAATGCAAATGTGATTAAATGCCCTTCTGACATGAAGTGATTTGACTTCAAGTTTGGATGAACACGCATGTCAATGGCTGGTTATGGTTTTGGCCACATTCCCTTTGAGTTAGACAACTGTGATTTGCTTGTGTTAGACTTTTATTTTTAAACCAATAGAAAGGAAAATCTTTGGAACAGATTGCCTATTCTCTTTTGTTTCTCTTAAAAGTGGTGTGCTAATATTTTCTTAGCATGCAAAAGTTCACAGAGCAATGATCAAAATTCTCCAAATACCTGCTTAGTCTGGGAAGAGAGAAACAGAGAGAGAAACAGTCTTTTCAAGTTGTTTTCAGTCTGATTTAAGTTTTTCAAGACAGGCAACTAGAGTTATAGCTCAGATTTTTAAAAGTATCTGTGAAAGTACCTAACTGCCATTTATACCAGGGAAACTGTACGTCTGGGCATGGAGCAAATTCTAGGGCAGTTATCAAATAAAGTACAAACCCCACAGATCTTAATCAAGCAGCCTTCTATTACTCAACTGAAAATTATTTCTTTTGAAGAAGATTAAGAACCATGATGGAGTACTACACTCACCACTACAGTTTTCCAGGTGGTCTGCCTTGAAGCAGACTGTATCTGCTGGCTAATGAGGGGATGCCGCAGATGGTGCCTCTGGACTTGTCCTTCCCTTTAGTATTTTGTGTGTATGGGCTGGAACTGTGCCTGGGCTATGCAAGCTCATTACAGGGGCAAAGAAGCAAATGAAAGAGCAAAGGCACTACTCTTCTGTACAGTGTCTTACTGAAAATACAGGGGCATTTGATGAATGATTGCAAGATTAATCCTTTGAGCAGCTGCTACCAAGCCCTAGTGCTTAAAACTGCAAACACTTCTACTGATGTTACTGGAGTGCTTCATGACTGGAGGTTGCTCATTCTGCCCAGTGTAGGCAAGACAAAGATTTTAGAAACACACAAGATTAGAGAAACACGTAAATCCAGACATAGATTTTCATATCTCTGAACTCATACCACCTACTTCATTAGAGGCTGGTAATCTATATGGCTAATAGCCATGTCATAAACCTATTTATGTATGTATTTATTTATTTATTTATTCAAAAACATCAGTGAGCCATACCCTGTAGGAATTCATGCTGCAATAAACTACAGTAGTAACATTTAGCCCAGGGTATCTTAAAATTTATCTCTATCTCTATCCAATCTAGAAGTCAAATTCTTGCATATTTACCTAATCTCCTGCTGAAAGCTAGGAAAAGATTTTTTTCTGACTGTGGACAGAGTAAAAGAATGGTCTGATTCAAAAAAGAAAGTTAGGCTTTCACATCACAATTCTTAAGGCCACAAAGAGATTTGGTAGGAGGTGTGGGGGGGAAATCTCTTGAGGCAGGATAAATCATGCAAATAAAAACTAGTATAGTACGGAATAGAATGCATAATAGCTGGCAGCTATTTATACACTATTTATTTTCATGAAATGGGGACTGAGAACTTAATTCACAAGCAGGAGAGTGAAGTATAAATGTTATAAGTATGAGCTTAATATGGGGCCAAATCCTACAGTCCTTACATAGTCTTGTTGAGTCATATCTCCTGTTGATCTTCTCTAAATTAGCAGTGCAGGATTGGCTCATAATATATTACAGTCATCAGGTTATAAACTTCTCATTTTCATCTGTGAAAGAGAACCAATGACTGACTTTATGCCACTTCGTGTGATTTCAGTGTTTTAAATAGAAAAATAGACCTTTCAACAAACTGGAAATTTAAATCTCAGCCTTGGTAGCTTTCTTATTTCTAGTAATGAAATGCCATTTAGTGATTCAATATCTAAAAGATTAAAAAAAAAATCATGACATTGTTTTTATTAAGCATTTGGAATATGGTTATCCCACTAGTTTAGGTCCAGACGTAATTAAAAAATTGGTTAAAAGTGTGTTAAGATTAGTTTGCAATAATTAGCACAGACTGTTTCATACAAATAAATAGGAAGATGCAAGCAACTAAAGAGTTCTTTTTTTTTTTTTTTTTTTTTTTTTTTTTTTTATTAAGATTCTTTTCTATTTGGATATGTTCAGTTAAATCTTCAGGAAAAGATAAAATAAAATAAAATAAAATAAAATAAAATAAAATAAAATAAAATAAAATAAAATAAAATAAAATAAAATAAAATAAAATAAAGGTATGCCAAGACCCCTACAGTATCAAAAGTGTGTGTATACTAATATTCTCACTGCAGATTTCCTGATAGCAAACACACCTATAAAATTAAGTATGAGTCACAATGGAACACTTAATCTCAATCAAACAGCAGAACTACAGCATTCATCCGTAGAGCATCCTATCAGGATAATCAGGGGAATTATGAAAGAAAATCATACAATAATGATCAACATTATAGCCTTGAAGTATACCAGATATCACATAATATATCTTCCAAAAGTTGGTATAAACTTGTCTCTCTAACAAGTTACAGCAATAATAAGAGCTCATTTAAACTGGCTGCAGGAAAAAGTTCGGTACATGCTGTACCTGGTTTTTCTGCATTTCTGCATGTGCACAGTAAAAAATACTTTTTCTTGTCTGTTTTTTTTTTTTTTTTTTAAGGAAGGAAGAAAATTCCAGGAACATTACAGTGTGCTATATTTTGATTTAAAGGGGGAAGAACAGCACTTCGCCAAATCCCAAGCATTTAAATCACCGTTCACAGGTCATTGCTCTCCAAGTTTATAAAAGTGATGCCAACATCAACTTCTTAGCTCTACCTGCAGCAACCCACAATAATATCAAGCCTCAAAGTCAGCACTACTTTAGCAAAGATAAAGTATACGTGATTTGTTCAAAACAAACTCGATCGGTGATCTTAAGGAATTAAACATACCCACCCGTGTATGTACACACAGACACATCATCAGCTACAAGTGAGGCACATTTACATGAAAGAAACAGCATTTACCAGGAGGAGTGAAGCCAGAAGCAGGGTGCCAGCAGCGGTCCAGCTGCAGCCCTCCATGGTTGGGTCTGTCCGGGACCTGGGGTCGGACACCGAACAAGCTGTGAAGCGTTCCGCTGCCTGCTGTCACATCCAGTGCTGGTGCGAACTTCAGCCCTGCTTCTCCGCCTCCATCAGCTCTGCTCACATTTCCTGACCCAGGGGTGGGTGAGTGGGTTGGGGTGGGCTGCGGGGAAGTCCTCCCTGAGCCGGCGAGCAGCCAATCCCCCTCCTGCTAAACAGACGTGCAGCACAACAAAGCCAAAGGGTCTGGGGAAAGTGTAACAGGCAAAGGCAGAGGGAAAGAAAACGGAGGGAGAAAGGAGGAGGAGAAGGAGGAGGAGAGAGGCAGAATGGCACAGCTGAAGGGAGTGCTCTGCCCTCAGCTAGCCGTCCTCCAGGAACTCTGCTCCACCACTTGCCGCGAGCTGTTCGGGCGTATTGCTAGGTCACTAGCATTCCTCCTGAGCATGCATTATTCCAGTCAAGAGAGAAATTTAATCTGTGTCAATGTGTAACATATGCCATATAAGGCACCAATCAGAAAATTCCGAAATCTGCCAGGGAGAACGTATGTTTTATTGCAATTGTGTATTTACTACAGGTAAATTGCTCTCTGGAACTCTTTTTTCCTCCTTGTTCAGCAGTAAGAGAGTCTAACTCTGATCCCAAACTGTGAAGCAGATATGTTTCTACCAGGACTGAGAGACAGTCTTTCTGTCATTACTATTTTCCTTTTGGAATTAATTTAAAAACCACTCTATTCTACATTAGAAGTAAAGTGAGCTTATGGGAGGGAGGATTCTGGACAGAAAGACAGGATCCACACACCTCAGGAAAGCTGGAAACTCTGTCTTTGAAGTATTAACTTGACAGATGGGAGTTTCAAATCCTTGCTCTTACCCTGTTCAAGATTCATCCAGTTTGCATACCCATGCCCCTTCACTGCCCGAAGTCTCTAGCTTTTTTCCTTTTTTTTTTTTTTCCCTCTTTCTCTCTCTCTCTCTTTTTTTCTTTCTCTCTCTCTTTTTTATTTTTTTTTTTTTTGTTATTTTTTATTATTTTTTTCATTTTCATTTCTTTGTTGACTCTTATTTTCTAAAGCAGAAACTGTGAACTGGATCCAAGAAACTCTCAATGCAGTAGGCATTCTCCCACATGGGGCTGTTTTGGACTTCTCTTGCAGTTGCAAGATTATGGTGCTGCAGGGCAAGCTAGGTTCATATGGGCATGCAGAAATCCTCCTCTCCAGTAAGCTCTGACAGTGAAGGAGAAAAATAATGTACATGTGTTGGGGAAGGAGAATAATATGCTAGCAATGAACAGAGCATAGGGAAACTTTGCCAAGGGCATCAGGTCTGGGGTCATAGAGGAAAAGGGAGCAAGTGTAGACCACAGACCATTTAAAAGAACTGTGCATCAGTAGAAATGAATAACAGCCTGGAGGAAAAGCTTGATGAGCAGATGGGGAGAGATACAAAGTCTGCAAGAAGGAAGGAACTGAGAGGAAAAAGGGTTTACACATGTTGAGAAGTCAGGAGGAAAGAAGAGGGTCTGGCTCAGTATTGCAGGAACAGGAACATAAATACCAGAGATATCTGAAGGCCAAAACAGAAAAGAGAGAAACTAGACAGAACTGGGTTTGGGAAATTAGGGTGAAGAGAGAAATTTGGAACAAAAACCAAAAATAATTAGGAACACTGGGAGGAACAGATTTCAGCTTGCTATGGCCGGCAGCAGACTGGTTAGGGACCTTTGAACTTGGCAGGCTAGGAAACACAACGTGGAAGACTGAAAAGCCAGCTAGGTGGACTGAGTGCAACAGGGGTGAGAAGAGGCTTAAAATGGATCCCAATAATCCTCTACCACCAGTGAGTCCTTTATAAGGCCAGATCCTTTCCCATAGCAAATTCAGAGACCACACTCTGTGGAAGACTGAAGGATAGACCACATTGCACCATGCTCAGCTCAGCAGCAGAGAAACCACTGTTTGTTGACACCATGTCAGAACTTAAGACGTCTCAGATTGCCTTTGAAAAACCCAGGAAACTAAACAACAAGAAACATACACCCCCAAACGCTTTGCTTCACCGGCAGTGTCAACCAAAACCTAAGACTTGTACAAACTGATTTTTTCCATACAACTCCCGAGCCAACACTGACTGTTTTCTCCCTTACTATGTTTCCTTGGCCCAAGAAGACTAACATATTATGAGAAGTAATTACAGCTAATTCCTGGAATTTCTGTACACTCAGTTCTCAAGGCCGAATTTTTATGGTGAACAACGTTTGTGATATTTCGAATAGGTGAAATGATGACTGCTTTATTTGTAAGGACCAAACTGCTCCAGTTATGATTAGATGTGTTGCAGTGGTAAGAGGATGGTAACTGAGAAGGACATATTCATAACCATATATAGTTTTTCTCTTTGCCTAGCATTAAACTCGATACATTGCACAAACAGTGCCTAAGACCTTTTCAGAATTCTGGAATTAAGGCATTTAGTATTCAACTTTGGAAAAGGTAGGGTTTTGAAAAGAAAGTTTTGGAGATTCTTACCAGTACAGAACTCTCAACAGTCAGCTAAGTCATCTAAACTAGAATAACCGGAGCCTACTTGTATCTGATATAGAGCCTTGCTATTGTTTTGCTCACAGATCTCCAATTGCAGCTGATGAGTATTTTGTATGCAGAATAATGGCACGCCAAGGACATTAATGTTGCCAAATGATGTGGCCTTCAATGTTCAGACACGTAAAAATTATGGTTTGCTATATATATTTTTGTTTTAAATTATGTTTAATCAGTATCAGAACAGTAAGATGTTCATAACAGCACTTTAAGTTGTAGGAAATTCACCTGACCTGATATTCTGTCAGATTCCTGAACGCCTCTTCAATTTTGTTTTATTTTTCACAAGAAACTTATGCAAACCTCATGATTTTCTCATGAAACCATGTGAATATCATACTTCCAACAGTTTGGCTTTGTATTTCCTGCACATATTTGAACCTAGAAATCAAAGCTAAATTCAGGGAATGGAAACTCATATGAATCAAGTCCAAAAGAAAAGTCTACTCAAATTCTTGCATATAGTTTTAATGAGGAGTCATGCCCAATATCTGCCAATTTCTACAGAGCCGTGTTGCATCTACCTAAAGACTCATTTGAATCATTCCTAACTGAAAAAAAAAAAAAAAAAAAAAAAAAAGAACTAAAAAAGTAGTCTAGATTACTAAAGAAGACTTTTAAGACATGAAGTGCCTGGAAGTGTTCTGCAGTTGCACTTCTCCATAGCCTGCTGTTCAGGTTTAGGATTTTCTTTTACTTCATATACATATTTTGTATGGTGTTCATTTATTTGTCTTGCTAAAAGGTCATTTTAGATATGGAGCACTAGTTTGGGGGTGAGGATATTTATTTCTGCATTGCATAGATACTCAATGACAAAGCCTATATAGTAAGATGGAAAATATGTCCCATACAAGGTAACGTTGACTGAAACATGCAAAGCATCATGCCCTTATCATCTCCACATTGTGTTGTATATTCAAAATGAATTCAGAGCACTGAAGACATCTACCTGCAGCAGAAAAAAAGTAGCTGAAACCTCAAGGGATGTGTTAGCCCATCTGGATTGTGCCTTCTGTGCCCAGCTTTTTTTTCACCAGTAAGACAGAAATTGTTAGCAAAATCTTAATGTTACAGATGAAAGTCTTGGCTCCCTTAAGGTCAATTTCAAAAACATATTTTGAAAAATGCTCGAGACCAGTGAGTTCTAGTGTGCTTTCAGTATGACTTGATGAATGTCACCCCCAAACCCTGATATTACAAAAACAAATTCTTCATTACTTTAGGAGAGAGTGAATGTGCAATAGAAGGCTACTCCATACCCTGAAAATTACACCCTTTAGTTTCCGATGTGGCCAATAGCTCCACTTCTCCTCCACCTCTGCCAGGAGTTTAAATGAAATTGGTTTTCATCTGTTTGTGAGAAAAGCAGAACTGGTTATAAGTGCTATACACCTATGGCAGATTATATGAAATGAAAGCAGAAGCAAAGGAGGGTGTCTGAAGCAGTATTTTAAGCTCTACAGATTTAACAATACTTAATTTGAAAAACACACGTGCAAGCAGGAGAAAACTGTTAACATCAATATACTTTATAGCAGGAAAGAGTGAACTCAGCTTTGGAGCTGATCTCCCAGGGGAGTATATGTTACCGTTTTCACTCAGAAGCCACCTGTCTCTTCCTGGAGGTTGGACATTTTCATTTATTCATTTATTTATTTATTTTGCCATCAGGTCTGTAGCAACCAGGATTTTTTATTTCTTTTCACTTTTTTTTTTTTTCTTTCTTTTTTTTTTTTTTGGTTAACAGTTATTATTAGATTTTCTCTTATAAGCCTGGTTTGATTTCTGAGAACCTGGGAGCTTTCAAGTATGCAACTTGAGAAGCGGGAGTGAGCCAGTGCTTTAGTTGAAGATCTGCATTTATGTGTGTGTGCCATTACTAGACATGAAAGAAAGTTATAAGGCCTGAGATATTCTGGACTGCCAACGTGAAGCTCATCCATATGCACACAGTTTGTGATTACTAAAGCATTTTTATCAAAGATTAAGCTGCTGATGCCTACTAAATCTTTGTCCAGACCTCTAATCTGAGATACAATTGAAACTCATAATATAGCTCTGACAAGTATGAACATCCTCACTCATAGCCTAGCAAGCCAGTAGGCAGATAGTTTAGCTTTCATACTCATCCAGACTCTGCCCTCTGTGAGCAACTGGCTGCCAAGAGCACTAGGGTCCAATGAGGTCACCTGGGGAACAGTGGGCCGTGACCTTTCTGTCTGAGACATCCCCCTGACCACTACATCTGGTGTGAGAAGATGTCTCAAGAACCAAATGATACATAACACCACTCAATCTGATTTAATTGGACAGAAGACAGACTGGTGAAATACTTTCGCCTGAAACACGTTTTGAATTTTTTGCTGGGCAATCACTTCTTCTGTAGGACTATTGGGACAGATGGAATAAATTCATGCATGAGCACTTTTCTTTCTAGAAATTTAACTGCACTCATTGAAGCAATATTCTATAACGATCCTTCTCCCTCATGGTATTATACTGTCACCATTTACCTTATGAATTAGTAAAGATGCTAACTTGTGCTTCAGTAACAACCTTTAACCTTTGACAGATTAATCATATTTTGTCACCAAAAAACAAAGTATCAAATTTTATAGATTTTTTTTCACGCTTTTTGTAACAATTTAACACTACATGTATATTCACTTTTAGTGTTTTTTTTTTTTTTTTTGTTCCCCCCCCCCCCCCCACTGGAAGGGTGTGGTAGTTTAGTGGATGAGCCAAACATCTTGAACTGACATGCTTAAATTTGAGTTACAACAAAAAATAGGGGAATTCTACAACAGTAGATGCAAAATTGTTTCCCTTTTCTGTTCTACTGGAGAATTCCAGGTAAGGCAGACAAGCACAGATCCACCATTTCTTCAGTGTTTCTCTCTCAGGCTTATTTTTTTTCCCAGGATGCCATATATATAAACTCCTAATACCTCTCCTTGGCTTTTGGACATGTTCTTTATGGTTAGACTAAATAGATTCCTGTTATTAGAGTGATCCCTTTGCTCATCTCTGAGTGGGCTCACTCACACTCTCCTTCTGGAAAGTGAGACTGTTTTCTACATTTTCCTCTTCACGCAAGACTGATTCCCCTATTCCTGTGTTGCTGTATGCTCTTTTTCAAGCCTACTTTCAGAACCATTTGCAATTTATTTAATTCCAGTCTTTTCATGCCTCTTACCTCCCAGCTAGCACTCTATCTCAGCTTTTTCTGACAGTTTCTAGCAGTAACACACCATACTCTCTAACCAATCCATAAAATAGAGGAAATACTTATTTTAGATTTCACAAG